GCACCTCACAGAAGCCTGTCTTTACATTTAGAGAATAAATGACACTTTCCAAGCACCGCCCACTAGCTCAGGTGACTTTTCAATTCTCCTGTGATAGATGTGGTACATGTGGGATGTTAATCTTTGCCCTAATTTACAGCTGGGAGAAAGTCACGTAACCAGTTACTAACTCTAATTTGCAGACTTGATGAACTTCAAATAACTAAAGATCTTAAAATCATATGTTCAGTTTACCATTATGATTGGAAAAAGAATATTTTAAGCAGAAAATGTTTTTTTTTGCTTTCAGTGAGTGATATTTTCTATAATATTTAGAGCAATAAATCTTTGTGGGATGCACTAAAGCTTAGACAGGGGTTAGAGAAACATTGGGCTTCCCTGTTAGCTCAACAGCTAAAGAATCTGCCTGAAAATCCGCAAGCGTGAGACTCGGGTTCGATTCCTGGGTAGGGAAGATCCCCTGGAGAAGGGCTAGGTTACCTATACTCCGGTATTCTTGGGCTTCCTGGTGGCTCAGAGAGTAAAGAATCTGCCTGCAATGCAGAAGACCTGAGTTCGATCCCTGGGTTGGGATGACCCCCTGGAGGAGGGCATGGCAACCCACTCCAGTATTCTTGCCTGGAGAATCCCATGGACAGAGGAGCCTGGTGGGCAAAGACTAAGCATAGCACAGGGCATTACTTTAAATAGCAAAGCATGTAATACTTCAAAATTATTTTGTAATTTTTAAAACTGATTTCCTAACAGCTTTTTGGAACTTCATCTGGCTCTTGGTGTCTGGTTCTCATCTGTCTTGGTGTGCTCGTGTGGTGGGCCTTGCTGCCGTGACACCCATTTAGAGGGTCTGCCACTCTCTGGCCCCTCACAGGATCCCGAGACCCAAATGCCCTGACAATTACTTTTTCAACCTCTGCACTTTACCTTTATTTATGTAAAATTATTTTCTGGGCCCTGACAGGATTTCATTGTTAATAAAATTGACTTAAAACAGGAACCACGGGTATACCATGTAAACCTACACTCTTGGTTCAACAGATTAGAGAAACAATGAATTTTCATCAAGAAGGACCTAAATGCAGGTTGCTGGCAATGAAAATTAAGTTTTATCCTGATCAGAGACAATGACTGTGTCCCATCACCCATTTTAGACACACTTCTCAAATTAATTTGTTGCTTTATGCCTGCATTGTGCCAACAAAAGAATGTCACCATCTGGCTTTATAAGGATTAAGTCACCAGCCACTGCCACTGCTGACCTTTAACACATTCTGAAAGGAGATCGGGCAAAAGATCAGAAATGAGGCACTCTGTGCTCTGGGAAAACAGACAGAACAGGCTTTCAGAGAGTTAGATATTTCCAGGAGAAAATTTTATGAACGTAATTTCTTGCACCTTCTCATACTTAGACAAGCACTAAAATCATTAACTGATATGCCCATTTTCTTATGACTAGCAGCAACCTTCTACGGTGATATGTGCCTGGTTGCATGCACCCCTTCTCCAAAATCACACTCAAGCCAGCCTCCTCCCTACCTCTTTGGGGCAGTTCCTCACAGCTACCCAAGAGACCATCTCCCAAGATATCATCCTTAGGAAGTCCCCAAATAAACTGAAATTCACAGCTCTCACATTGTACGTTGTTATTTCAGTCGACTATTGGGAGGAAAATTTTCCATGAGGGAAAGTGAATGAGGCTGCAAGGCTCCAACAAGAGATTTTGTAAAAATCCCCAGTTCAGAGATGGAAGCAAACTTTATGTAAAACCTGACTTGCAGTTTAGAGCCTTACAGAATTACAAACGTGTGAGCCTGCTATCACCATTACTGTCTCAGGATTGCAGATTTAGAAGTGATTCATGCAGTGTCCTGGAAGGAGGGGATAGCTCCTGACTCCATGTGGAGGGGCCAGGACTGAGTGCAACAAGGGAGGCCAGGCTGTAACTCAATGAACATAGTGGAAGACTTCAAAGCAAGCCCAGCCAAGTCTGTCCTGTGTTCGAAACCCCTGTCAAAGAAACGCCATCTCCAGATCCTGTTCCAATATTATTTATTCTCTCTTCCAGACATGGACCCTCAGAGAAGGCTGAGTGCCTCTACTGAGCGCTTGTAAAACACAGTTTGAAGATCAAGTTTGGAAACCAGCCCCACAGCCTGCCAGCAACATGACCTCGAGAAACTGCTTATGTTCAGTTTCCTCTTAGGGTCTTTAGGATCCCTCCTACATGACCAGCATGGTACCCGGCCCACATAATCATAAAAATATTATCACACTGTTGGTTTGCAAACTGGCCCCCGTACACAGAGGGCAAAGAGACAACAGAGGAAGAAGCAGACCACCAATTGGTAGGTGGCAGGTTTAGCAAGCAAGGGAACTTATCTATGAAGATTGTCACGGACAGCACAAGATGAGTGGATCTCCACCCCCATGGGCCAGAATCTTAAGTTACATTAGAGGCTTTAACTGGGTTCAGTCACGTATTCACAGTCCAATTGGTCTTGACAGCATCTTACTCTCTCAAGGTCGCGTCCTTGTCACGGCTGCCATCATGGGAATAGTAAGCAGCATGGACATTCCAAGCAAAAGGAGCGGGTGAGGAACCTCCTATTGCTGAGATATAGCTCTGCCATCAACCAATGATCTCCTCTCCATGATCCCCTCGGAACCATTGCTGAATTTTGGCTCTGCACCATGACAAATCCACAGCAAATGGTCGCAAATTCTAGCCATCTTTTCAACCTCAGAAACTCTCCTCCTGCTCAACTCTGGGCAAATGAGAGCTTCTGAGAAATCCTTTGAGCTGAACAATCACCTGAGTGATGTGGTTGCTCTCTGAACTGTACAGGGCACCCTCACGATGGACTTTTGAAGATGAAATTAGGTGGGATGAAGGGAGAGAATCCTTACATTCTTTCCCCCCCAGCCTGGATGAGATGTACTGCTTTCTGCCTTATTCCTCTGGGCCTGTCAGTCGTTCCAGGACAAGGGCAGAATTTACAAACCCAGGAAAACCTGTGTCACTATGATGGAGAACAAATCTGAACTCTGCCTTGGCAGAAGCCTTCAGCAAACTGCCTCACCCTGAGCCTGTTTCATCAGTAGTAAGATGAAGCTAATTAATGGTACCAACCCTAGAGGACGGAGATGATACATAGAAAGTGCTGAGCGCAGTGCCCAACTCTGTACCCACAAAGAAGTCCCAGGTACCAGCATGTCCAACACATTGTTTTGCTGGAGCCAATTAACTTCTTTCCACTTTCACATCCTTATGTAATTTGCCAAGTTCCACACCAAACACAAGGATTGTCCTACTTCACTGGATGGGACTTGATCATTTGGCTTTCTTTTGCTTTTTCATTTGATTGGTGGTCATGGGACTGAGTCGTCAAACAATGCTGCTTCTGTACTGGATCCTGTCGTCACTTACTGTGTGCGCACCAGTGGTATTCTCTTCTGTTAAACATGGGTGCCGAATACTAGGTGACTCCTAAGTTCCCTTTCAGAGCTAAATTTTTTTTCCTAAATATGAAATGAAAATGAAGGTGAAAGTGCTAATTGCCCAGTCTTGGCTGACTCTTTTGCGACCCCATGGGCTGTAGCCCACCAGGCTCCTCTGTCCATGGAATTCTCCAGGCAGGAACACTGGAGTGGGTTGCCATGCCCTCCTCCAGGGGATCTTCCCAACCCAGGGGTTGAATCCAGGTCTCCTGCTTTGCAGATCAATTCTTCACCATCTGACCCACCAGGGAAACCCTACATATGAAATGGAGAAAACAAATCTCAACAGTTGCGACACTTTTAAGCTTACAAAACACTTCTGCATTCATTCTACCTCATTTCATCAAAATCCAGTTGTCCCCATACAACACAGAGGATACCCAAGTTCACTGGGGTGAGGTGACTAGCTCAGAGGCTTCCAGCATATGCCAAGACAGCCAGAGTCAATCCTTTAAGTTTTCTGTTCCCCAGACCCCATGCTCTTTCTGCTATATTCCTTTTCTCTAAAAATAATAAAAACTGATCCAAAAGGCCATATAAAATCCACACACAGAACACAACTTTGACAAGTCTTCCTTTTCCCAGATTGAGGGCTGAGAACCATCCAGATGCCAAGCTTTCTGGTACAAGTCATGAAGTGCAGGAGCTAGGCTGGCATCTACAGAGATGGCTAATAATGGCCATCCTGTGGACATCACAGGTGCTGTGGACAATGTAATGCTTTGTATTTGGAGATTAGAATTTTACTAGCTGTGTGTGTACCAGACAGGCTATAAGGTGTTTAAAAAGGGAATAAATAGGACTAAAGTTAGTGAATACAGGACTAAACATGAGAAGACCAGGCTTCAAAATTAACATCCAGTTAAAGAAAACGAGTGGCTGTAAAAGTGGGCATTTTGCTTTGATCAAGGGAAGGCCATGTTTGGCAGCAACAAAAAAGCTGCTAATGCAAAGGAAAGAACGAGTACACCCAAGGGTGAGGGCATAGTCATGGCAACAACACCCCAGAGGAGACCAAAGGGGCCGAGGTACAAAGTTCAGATGGAGGGGCTGACACAGCACAGATGGGATGGCCCTGCGTGTTGCCCAGGCTCACAGCTCCATCATGCGCTGCCAGGCACCCAAGGGAATGGATGGTGTCACCAGGCATCCACGGAACCAGGGCGCACACTGGCGACAGAAGGCTGCATCTGAGCAATCCAAAGCATCCACAGAAAACAGTGCTCCAATAAAGAACTTGTCCTATTTGTCAAAAAAGTAAACTATTTTGAACAACTATTATGAACTAGTGGGAAAAACCCAAGACTTCCATTCATATTTTTATAAACTTAAACATATTAAAATGATAGAAGCACCATGTTTAAAGGAATATTCACAGACACCCAAAGAATATTTCTGTGATGTGAATATTTACTGAGAAGGGCAGTAGCTAAGCTATAGATATCTACAAACCCAAATACTTGATCAAATTTGAAGAGCTCTGGCTCAACAATAAAATCATGCACTGTAGGTTCACAAATTTATTTAAGATTGTTTCCTATAAGCATTTTAATCATGGTCTATGTGAAGTCAAACAAGACGTGTTTGTATAATGAATTATGCAAGGAACTTTTAACTACAGATACAAGACATCAAGAATATATTCACTTTTTGATTTATTAAAACAAAGCTACACCTCTGGGCTTCTTACAATATATTAACAGGTGTAAAAATCAATCCACATTTCCAAATCAGTTTCATTCACAACATCACACCATGCTATTTTACGGTACTTTATAATCAATCTTTTTACAACAATCTAACATTTCTTTGTACAACAGGCAAACAGTTTAACACCTTCCATCAAGGCATTTCAGAACTTTAGATGTTTAGAAATAAAGTCAAAAGTCTCTTTCAAATGCCATCATTTTGTATTAAACTGAAATGCCAGATGCCAAGTCTCAAGTTGCTAAAAAGAGTGCTTTAAAAAACAGATTTACATCCAAATTAAGTCTTATAAACCTCAGTGGTAGGTCCTATCATTTCTAAACACCAGAACTATTTGTGGATAAAAAGCTGCATTTGATTGTGCAATATCTTCTGCTAGGTCTGACTTAAAATCTTAATTTTTTACCCCAATTAATCCTAGTGTTAATTTTGCTCCTTTCAGTTAAAAACCCAGACACATTGAGGGCTGATCTTTCATTGAAGAGCTCTGACCACCTATACGATAGTTTTCTGTGCTTATTGTCTCCAGGGGAGGAAGTGTACATCCATTAAACACAACGTTTGATCGTACAAAATGCATGCAGATATGCCTCTGTACCACCTGGCAGTTACTGTCTTGTCCTCTTAAAGAAATACATAACGTAGTGTTTCCCAAAATGTTTTCTGTGAACCTCAGGAGAGGTCCATAGCGGTGTTCAGAAGGTGAGAAAGGCTCTGGGGTCGCACAGATCGGGAAATGCTGGGTTAATGCAGGTTTCGTACCAGCGGGCCCTGAGCCGTTACTGTGCTAAAGTGCACTGTGAGTTTCTAGGAATGAGGGTTCATGTGCAAATTAATTTTATCAGCAACACTTTTCCCACAAAACACCTAAGAATATCTCATAGAGCACTCATATACACGGAGAACTCTGGGAAATGGTTTGCTCCTCAGATTGGAAATTCCACAATCTGAGTTTACATTCACTGCGGTCCCTGATGCATTTTCCCCACTCACCCTTGTGACTTCATGAGACTTCACAGATCTGAGGAGGACTCGTAGTCCTTTCTCTGTTACTAGTTCTACACACCTCACACTACTTCCTTCCTTTTCTCTTTAGAGCGAAAGTTCCTTCTTCTCTTTTTAATTACTTAGGACTTTCTCATTTTGAAAGAGTGTAGCTTCATATTGCTTATCATTGGGACTTTTTGTTTGCTTTTTAACTCGACTCACAGTCTGTCTTCCCCTGGAGGGCATGCATTTCAGTATTACAGAAATGCAATAGAGTAAACGGTAATAAATTATTTACAAGCACCTATTTTGTTTAATCTTACGTGAAAGCCATTCGCTTTTGGAGAACAAGGAGAATAAATCTTTTAGCAAAATAGTGGTATCTGGAAGCCTTACTGGGATGATGGATGTTCGTTCAGTAACGAGGCACTAAAGAATGAGCTGTGCTAAAATTAACTCGAGGGTGAGCTTGTCTGGATGAGCAGAACTTTGGTTGAGATTTGCCTTCCTCAAAAAAGGTTTTCAAAGCACCAGTTAATTACAGAAAGCATGCATATTTATTCTCACAGTGAGTTAAGTGGTGAGAGAGCTAGCAAATCATACATTGCATTCCCCAAAGCATCTGACTAGATTTCTAGAAAACAAACCAGCTGAAGGGAAGAGAGCCAGCGAAGCCACTGCTCCCCGCCAGGCGGGCGAAGCAGCAGCTGCTAGCGGAGTCACAGGCGGAGCAGCAGAGGTCACGGGAGGTCAGTCCCAACCTTGACTTAGTCTGAGTGACCCAAGCAGCAGCTCCTAGCGGAAGTCACAGGCGGAGCAGCAGAGGTCACGGGAGGTCAGTCCCAACCTTGACTTAGTCTGAGTGACCCTTGGCCTGTAATTTCATGGATGTGTAAAAAAGACTAGTGAAACGTTTGCTTACCTAGGTAAGGAACACACAAGGGGATACATAAGCCTCCCTGGCTGTTCCCCAAACACAGAGCTCAATCCTACTTAGGATGTAAAATGGAATGTAACACGGTGAAGACCCCACTCCACATCAGAGCCGCTGCGACACTGGCAATGGCTTAATGGGATGTGAGCTCCTATAAGGAAAACATGTTTTAAATGCGGAATCTGAGAAGAGTGGAAGAAAATCACAACAGCATGGCATTATTGCTCCGAGTTTCAAAAATTTCATACAATGTGAAATACCGATCAGTATTTTTCCCTCTCCCAACACACACAGAATATTCACAAGACCCATTATTAGTGTTTAAAATCCAAGCTGATAAAAGTACAAACTTAATTCTCAGTACCTTTCTATTAAATTCAAAGATTACCTGCAGTATTTGTCAGGAAAAATTCCTAATTCCTTAATACCACGGAGAGAAGAACAAACAGTCAGCTGTTAGAAAACATTTTATATCACATGATCTTTACGAAATCACCATCATTACCACAATTAGCGAACAATTATGATCCCTGCTCACAAAAAAGGCACCTACCTGTTATGAACAATTTTTCATAATTATTTGCCACTATATGGCATCAGGGTTTAGGAAAATAACCCATGCATATTTTTAAAGAACCATGGTTTTCTTTTTCTCAAAGCTAAAAAAATCTACAAATGCCTCTGACCATCTGCCAGTCTGCAGGGCCATCACATATGTGATGTACAACCCACAGGTGGTACTCTGCCCAACTTGAGTGGGTACCAGCCACTCAAAAGTGTACAACCAGTCTGCAGGACATAAGAGGCCTGGGTCATGAGTCTGCAGCCAGAGCACTTTACACGAACACAGGCAATCAGGTCAAGCTAATAAGTTAGGACAGCTGCTATCTCCAAGAAACAACCGTACCTGACAGGCAGGTACTACCTGAGGCAGGAGGTGGGGGGAGGGGTGGCAGGTAAGGGATACAGACATAAAACAGGAGTCGTTCCTAAATACTTGCTGGTCATTTAAAACTCAATGGCACTTTTTCACATGAGCAAACATTTTCAAAGTCAGTTTTCCGGCCAAGTTTATCTTGAATTTCACCAGCCAAATTTATTTCCTGGTATGAGCTGATTGGTCAGATTATCTCTATTCCTGACCTAAATTAATATTGTGTTTCCACTTAGCTCTTAAAACACTTTCTATACCTGACTGCAACAGACAGCACAGTGACACCTATGTGTGAATAGCCCATTCATTGTAAAGCACTTTGCGAGGAAAAAAATGTTCCCATTTAACAGTTAGCTACAATTGACATAGATAAAACTGAAAAAAAAAAAAAAAAAAAAAAAAAAAACGAAGAACACAAGTTAANACAGTGAATGGATGACACAATTACTTTTAAAGGAAGCATTAATCAGAACATATACCAACAAATTACCTGACAGCATTAAGTGTACTGAACACAATTCAGTTTTAGAATCAACTACATTTGTGTGTCCATCACAGTAATAAGTCCCTAACAGTTATATTTAGAATGTAAATCTTTAACAAACTCCAAAATCTCATTTTGCAATCTATTGATCATGAACTGCAGATGGAGGCTGGGGCCCCCATGGTGTGATCTGCAGGCTGTTGTGTCACCTCAGTGTCCAACCATCACAGATCACGGAGGGGAGAAGGCACTTGTCTTCCAGGAGGTCGCGTCAGGACAGGTCCGGCCCGACCACACGATGGCGCCGCCCGCTCTCGGGCCACAGGCGGAGCCTACGAGGAGCGGGTCCCAGGCCCTGAACTTGCCAGAGGCGGCCGAAGTTACCTACAGCACCACAAAACTCAGAATATATTCCAGGAGTTTTTGCCGGTTGCACTGAGGTAGAAAAGTGCTGCTGAGTTCTAAAACAGACACTCTCTTTTGTTTGGTCTCTTTGAAAACCTAGAGAGAAAGTTTAGATTCAATTAAAGACAAACGAAGAAGGGCAAGGGGGCGGGGAGACATTTCTGTCACCAACCCTTACTTGATGTGCAGTAAGGCATATAAAGCCATATCCAGGCTTTAAGAAAATGTATGTGTAGGGTGTGTGTGAGTACAGGGTAGGAAGGTTCCGGGGGTGGGAGATTATGGGGGCAGGTGTGGGGTTTACTAGTGTACTAGATTTTAAATTTTATGTTAAAGTCACAGAATAGTTCCTTACAAAGACCACTAGTACTTCCATGGAACTCGTGTCCCAAGTAATTTGTGAAGATAAAGGATACCCAAGGATACTTCTAGCAATACTGATAAAAATACAACAAAATAACTGAAAATCATATGGCATGCTTAACATTCCCACCAAAACTGTAGTAGAATCTTGAAACACATGGACACCTTCATTTAGGATGAAGATGAAAACCAGGACAATTTTGGAACATTCAAATAAATCTTTGTGGAGGGGCCTCACCTTCAACATGCCCCTCCTCCTCCCAATCCCCAGAAATGCCTGCATGATTAATCCTGCAGAAACTGCTTCTCTCAGGGTCCAGACCAACACAAAGGTGACTCAGACAGAATAGATCTAAACAGAGAGGACAGAAGTGAATACACACTCTTGTACATAAGCGGTGGACACTCACCCCGATATCCTTAAACATTTTCACAGCGTTCTTCACAAGACAGTAAGTGGCGCTCTCAGCTGTGGAGAAAGAATCAGGCCCTGTCAAATGTTTAGGTCCAGCGATAATGAAAACCCCAATATCCATGGGAAGAGAGTGTAGGAGGCCGCAAAGGGTCTGCTCTTTCTTTAAATCTACTCTGTCATCTTTTGGGGGAGGGGGGAAATGGAGAGAGGGGTAGGGAGAGGAGAAAAAGGGAGGGAGGAAGGGGAGGAGGCAGGGAAGGACAGAGAGAAGAGGAAAGGAAAGAGAAATCCCAAAACACCCATCTTGAAGGCTTTTTGTGAGACTCAAATGAGTCAGAATGCAGTTCTTTTAAACCATGCAGGAATGCAGAGACGACTCCTACTGCAGCGAAACCAGAAAGAGCGCAAGCCCGGAGGTCAGAAAAAAGGAATTCTAAACCTAGGCTGCCCTTTAACTAGCTGCATGATCTGGAATAGTGTCCTCATCGCTAAAGTGAGGTGATTCTAGGTCTTGATCTCCATCTAGAGATACAGCTATAGATGTAGCTATAGATGTCTCTACATATCAATCTGTAGAGGTCTAGCTATCTCTAAATAAATATCTAGTGATCGATCATCTCTAGATCCCTCATGGCTTTAAAAATTATTGATTCAAAGTACCTGCAGTCCTAAAGCGTAACTAGAGAATGCTACTCCCACCCCAACCACACCTCTCTCATAAGAGACAGAACCAGGTGCCGGCCAGGAGTGAGGGAACAGAGGCGCACACTGCTGCTGGGAATTTCAGGGTTTTGCACTCGGGAACCGTTGGACCACACCTACTAACGCCAAACACTCCACACCCTGCAAATAGGCAATTCTCCTAGACAGGCCAACACAAATGAGTCCATTTGTTCACCCAAGGACTCACTCAATCTTGTTCACAGCAGCACTATTCAGAGGAGCTCTGAACTGCAAAACCCAAATATCCATCAGTGATGGATACGAATCAATAAAATGTGGTAGATATTTATACAATGGAATACTACAATGCAACAAGAATAAACAACTACATGCAACAGCATGTATGAATCTCGCTTACAATGTTAGAAGAAAAATGCCAGACTTGATATATAATCTGTGTCATTCAATTTATACAACACAGCCAAAGAGGCAGTAGGAGCAATCCATGGAGTGACAGGTCAGGATAATCTTGCTTTTTTTTCCCCCAACTATCTGCAATGAGTAGATTTCCATAATCAAAAACGACGTAGGTTTCAAGAAAAGCCAAGAGACGGGCACACATACCGTACACGGCAACCCTCCTCTCCGTTCTCGTGATCAGGTGTTTGTGCAGCTTCTGCAGGAGCTCCGGCTCGGGGACGGGACCGCTGAAGTTGTGAATGAAGACGGCGGCAGAGCTGTAGGCCTCCAGCAGGGGCCCGAGGAGCCTCTGCAGGAAGGCGATGAACTGCTGGTGCTCCCTGGACCGGCTCACCTGGGAGAGCGAGAGCGGGAGGCCCAGTCGTGGGGGGACAGAGGCACCCCCGGAGCACCCGCAGCCCCAGGAGACGGCCCCTCACTGTCCCACACAGGAGCAGCCTACTGCTCCATGGGCTCAGAATCGCCCCTGGAGATGCCTTTTGGCTTTGAAATGTGCTCTTTATTGTAACCACTGACTTTCATAGTATTTGAGGTTTACGTTCATTGAACAGCTGCCTGGAAAAAAAACGGCTGTACTTCAATGACATAATTATGACATCCTGTCATCACTGAAAATGGCTGGTCCCCAGGCTGGACCCTCCAGGCTTTGAAGCCTGGCTCAGCAGTCACTCACGTGCACGAAAGGCCACATGCCAAGACCCCTAGCATCATCTCAGTCCCTCCCAGCCCTCATGGCCCGCCAGGCCCATGTGGTCTCTGGCCCACAGTCCAGCACTGCAAGAAAAGGTGGTGATGGGGTGCTCTGGGCAGTGGGGGCTCTCAGTGCCCCCTCAAAAAACATCCACATTCAGATAAGCCTCCCTGGGGCAAGATTACTGCCCCGTTTTGAAACTACTAATACCTAAAAGGAAAAAACCCCAAAAGTCACTTGGACTCTCCTGACTCTGTATGCCTATGTGTGCCTGTGTGTGCCTGTGCATGCACGCATGCATATGTGTGTGTGTGTGTGTGTATTACCCCACTGCAAAGAAAGTAATCCACTTAACGGTATTCAGAAAAGAAGGATCATTATTACTAATTGCTAAAATTACAAATTAGACAAAATCGCTTTTTCTAAAGGAGGGACAATTGATCTTTTAAAAATCAAATTTTCTGATAGGATTTGTTTAAATGAAGGCAAACAGCTTGATGCATGGAATTCTGGGAGCGATGGCAAGACGGAACACGACTCAAGCAGAGCAACCGGGCCAGCGGCAGCGGAACATGAACTATTCTCCCTCCCCTGGCACCGCACCGCCTTGCCTCGGTGATGCCTGAACAGAACCTCTGCCTCTTCAGCAGTGAGTGCAGGGATGGCTACTGGTCTGCACCCATGCATCCTGGTGAGAGGGTCACGAAAGGTACCATCTATGACGTCATCTTCCTGAAAGTTGAGACTCTTGTCTCTTCTTCCATTTATCTATACCTCAGACTGAATCGTTTCAGGTATAAATTCAATTCAGTTTCAGTGTCTTAACTGGGCAGAAAGTACCACGGCCAGTTTATGAGTGCTTTGAGTACGTCACCAGAGTCCCAATTTTTAAGCACCTTGTCAATCTGTGGCAACATGAGCCTCAACTCAGCACTGTGGTGTCCACCCAGATTCTTCACCCAAGTACCTTCAGGTAGCAATCTCGTTGCTCCTCACCAAAATCGCTGTCTTCATCTTCTTCATCACTTCTCCAAGACAAAGGTTCCGGAAGCTTCTTGTCCCACTGCTGCTCGGCAAGACCAGGACTGATATCTTCCTGATCATCTTGCTATGCCAGGGAGATGACCAACAGTTAATAAATATTCATAGGCACACAAACACCCGCCCGGCTGGACCCCAAAGTCGTCCTCTCTCATGCCCTGCCCTACTCTGTTCTGTCCAGCCGTGCATGACCTCAATCCACCATCCTCTGCAAACCCCAAATCACTTGGGAGACAGCAGGGGAGGAAAGAAGAAAAGAAAGAGTGAGGGTGAAAGCTACCAGACACGGCAATTAAAAGCACCATCAGCTCTGCTAAACTGGCATCTACTTTCCCAGGCCACATCCTTTATACGAAAGCTGCCAAAATTAAAACAAAATCTCAAAAAAGAAAAATGCACACATGAAAGCTACAACAAGCACATGGATATGCAGAAGATCTGATCTTGGAACACAGGCTTCTGGACGCCATGGAACCAAGTCAAGATATACTTTATGCAACACCAGTTACATAAAAGGAACCAAAATAATATTAAACCATCCCAAAAGACATTTACTCTCTCCATGCCTATTTTTCTCATCTCATCTTGGACATGACTCTCTCTCTCTCTCTCTCTCTCTATATATATATATATATATATATGTATACACACATACACACATCAAATGGAATCATTGGTAAAGCGGGTGGCAGAAAAGACAATGAAGGACATGAAACTAAAGGCAAGCAAAGGCAAGCCGGTCTTCTTACCTCCGCCACTGTAAGAATGCCATACTGGATAAACCTGCCCACTGTTTCATGGCAAATTTGGTAAAAGGTCTGGCAGGGCTGCAGAGAAAAGGCATTCCAGTGTAAATGTCATGGTCTTCCACTTATTTTTTTTTAATGACAGTGTACAAAGTGGCTGCCAAATACTCTCAAGGTATCACCTGCCTCCCTCCATTAGTCAAGCACTAAGATTTCTGATGCCACTGTCTTGACAAGCTCACACTGTGGACAAAGTCTGAGAAGAGACCTGGTCACCTGACTGGCAGAGCGCCCATGAGGCACCACCTGCAGACGGAGCTCCTGAGTTGGGTCCCCCCGACCCCCACCCCTCCAGTAGAGTGCGGCCTCAGAAGGGCCACATGTCCGGCCCCTACACCTATTTTTTTCCTTTTTAAGACAATTTCCCTGCAAAATCTATCTTACAGTAAATGCTGTACACAAAGGTGGTGGATGAGGAAATGCAATATGTATTCAAGTAATTAAAAAAAAAAAACCCCAAGTGAAAGACGTCAACCTTGAGAGCCTTATCCACCCTTTTCTCTCCCATCCTGCCCCCCCAGATTCATGCAAAACAGATTGCACACCAGGACACAAATATAACATATACAGACAGTGCTGTGGAGGAGGCCTGTACTCCCAACACCTATACTCAGAAATGTCCTAGAACACATTCCCATAAGTGGAAAACAACAGACTTTAAAATAAGAATTTTATTTATTGATGACTTTGAGGGAAAAAAAATCTCTCTACTGCTTAATAGGTATGCCTCATTATAAATGCCTACAAGTGTTTAAATATAACATAAATGCTCGCTGGTTCTGCTGGGCCTTAGCTTCCCCATTTGGAGGAGGGGCTGAGCAAATGCATTTGAAGACTGCTCTGACACTCAACTTCTAGGTTTCTTACCCCCACAGGTGGGCGTGTTAACCACTTACAAGCCCCGGACGCTGCGGCTCATGCATGAGAAGGGGCTCTGCGCCTCTGGGTCTGAGGACGGGGAGCGCCGAGCCCTCGCAGCCATCACGGCACAGGAGGGGCCCGGGGGCAGCGACCCCAAGAACAAACCAAGAGCGACACGGTGGTCAGGTGGTCACCGGGACCCAGGAGGAGGGGGCAGGGCTTCAGGGACAGACCAAAACTCCCCAAGAGGAAAGGGGAGCGCCGAGCCCCCGGAGCCATCACAGCACAGGAGGGGCGTGGGGGCAGCGACCCCAAGAACAAACCAAGAGCGACACGGTGGTCAGGTGGTCACCGGGACCCAGGAGGAGGAGGCAGGGCTGCAGGGACAAACCAAAACTCCCCAGAGGAAAGGGGAGTGCCGAGCCCCTGGAGCCACCATGGCACGGGAGGGGCCCTGGGGCAGCGACCCCAAGAACAAATCGAGAGAGCAACACGGTGGTCAGGTGGTCACCGGGACCCAGGAGGAGGGGGCAGGGCTCCAGGGACAAACCAAAACTCCCCAGAGGAAAGGGGAGCGCCGAGCCCCCGGAGCCATCACAGCACAGGAGGGCCCTGGGCAGCGACCCCAAGAACAAACCGAGAGAGCGACACGGTGGTCAGGTGGCCCCCGGGACCCAGGGGGAGGGGGCAGGGCTTCAGGGACAAACCAAAACTCCCCAAGAGGAAAGCATCTTACGTCTTCACTAAGATGCTCAAGAATAAGAGGACAAGAGACACTAAAGAGTCTTCACTTACCAGAGAGATGGTGCCTTCATTGGAAAGCAGATAGCACAGGCTGGCGGCCTTGCGTACCAGCTGCTCCTGGCTGACCAAGCTGGGAGACGCGGGCCCTCCTGGGCCCCTCTTCTTCAGAACTGCATAAAGGCTGCAGGCTGAGAAAGTAAAAGCATCAGCGAAGCTGGCAGCCTTAGATTTCCAAGAAAAACCTCAATTGGCTCAGACTGGCTGCACTGCTGCAAAAGATCGTTGATACGTCCAAAATAATTATCTGTGTTCACTGGAAAAGTGTAAGTGAATCCCTGAAGAATTTACTTCTTGTGATTCCATGTGATCCCAACCCTGTCAAACCTTCTTCAGAAGCTTCCATCCCCTCTGCTCTCTTTCTCCTCTGTTCCCTCCACTCACTTCACAGCCACATGCATGTCTCATCTCACCTAGATTTTCAGCTCCTGGGCAGCAAGACATTTGACTTCTCCTACTTGGTAAATCATGTAATACTATGTATACAGTAGTTCAGTTACTGCTCATTGAGTAGTAAATATAAAAATAAGCTGTAATCAGTGAAATAGCAGATGACACTTTTATTTCAAAACTAAATCTATAGCAACACATTCCTTGAAACAAGGGACGATCACCCACACTGAAGCAGACACCACCACGTGCTTTTGGCCACTTGACTGGCCATGAAAATACTTCAGGGCCTGACTTACCTACGATGGCCTCCATAATGAAGACGTGGAGCACCCCATTGCTGTAGAAGTTGAGTTCAAAGACTGAGGGGATAGTTGTGCTAGGAGTGATAAAAAACTCGTCGTTCTTGCTGGTGTGGGTGATGGTGATACAATTTCCCAGCAGCTGTATGGCATGCATGACTACATCTTCTGAATTTCCTGAGAAACCCAAGTCAAAATCACGAGCCAGGACTTCCTCTTTCATCACAAAGAAGTCTTCCACCAACGTGGAGAGGTCAATTCCCTATAAAAACAGACAGAAGTGGTCTCATGAGAACACAAAACCCACTTTTCAGAAGATGGAGAGACTGTCCCAAGCATTTTTTTTTTCCCCTTGCCTTGGCTTTCCTGAAGTTTGCTGTCAGAAAAAAACAAAAAAAAGTCAGAACACCAGTGTAGAAAAAGTTAGAAAAGGGGTTAAAAAGCTGTCCCCCAGGAACGCCAAGGTATTTCATGTCCAGAGCATACTCTAGCCACAAAACATGATGTGAGCATGTAAGATATCAAATGGAAGAAGCCACCGTCTGAAAAGAAGCAGTACTTATTTTTTAGCAAGAATTTATCAAATTTCTTAGCTGGTATTTATATATTGGCACTACATTTGGTGTTCAGAACATGACTGTGACAGAGAAAGTCTTTCCCATCACAGGGCTTAGACAAGTGTATTGTAGGAAGGCAGAGCGCAAGTCCTAAATACAAGTCAAATAGCTTAGAAACCATCAGCAATCAGAATACTTTCTATGTGTCTATAGACATGCCTTATTTCCGTTAACTGTATTCCTCAAAGAATGCCTTACTGTCTGATAAAACAGTCCCTGAGGCTGTTTTCATATAGATGTCTTCCTCCACGGGGTTCTAAGCCCCTGTGGGCAGAGTCCTTAGATTATTTTACTGTTGACCCTGGTGGCTCAGACGGTAAAGAATCCGCCTGCAATGCGGGAGACCTGGGTTTGATCCCTGGGTTGGGAAGATTCCCCTGGAGAAGGGAATGGCTACCCACTCCAGGATTCTTGCCTGGAGAATTCCATGGACAGAGGAGCCTGGCAGGTTACAGTCCATGGGGTCGCAAAGAGTCAGCCACGACGGAGCCACTGTCACTCACAGGACTAGCTGGAAGGGAACCAAATCTATCACTGAAGAAGCATCTGAAAAGCTGCCGAAGCATCTCCCTGCTTTCTGCTGAGCTCCAGTGGCACTGCAGACATACCTGCCTGTGTCTGTAGAGAAGCAGGCAGGCCACGATGTGTGTTGACATAATAGCACAGGACTTGCTAGCAGCTGGAAGGCAAACACAAATCTTTAGTTGCGCTTTTTTAACATAGCTCAAACTTTTTAAAAGTACCTAAATCTTTTAAAAAAAAAAGTATCTTAATTAGGAGCATTTAAAACTACTAAAGTCCTCTACCGTATTTCTTATACCTGATTCACCAAAGGTAAATCACAATTTGCTCTGGACCAGTGGAAACTCATTAGAGATCATTGCTCACATAACAGAATTCAGTCTAAGATAGGTCTACCCTCAACCCAGAAATCGATTTTAACTTCCTCTTTTCAACCTGGCCCAGAGGCAGGTCAGAGACACGAAGGAAGGGGACAAACATACACCTGAGAATGACTAGAGTCCATAACTCAATGCTCCAAATTTGTAGAAATTTACAATCATATAAATCAAATATGAGAACATCTATGGAATAATCTAAGATAAGACACCATTTGTGGGTTTTCTGAGATGATAATGAATTCAGGAATACTTCACTCATAATTAATGTTATCTCCAGTGTTTAAGAAACAAAAAAGTCCCCAGTACCATACATATTTGGCCTTTAAAAAGAATATTTAAAAAGCTTTCATAATACTTATTTTATAAATGGAAAACAGCACAAAACTGCAAAAAAAAATATTTTTATAGACTAGACAGCAACCCATCTGGTCATCTGGGTAGCGGGTTTTATCTTTACTTTCCAGTTTTTCAACATATAAGGATGTATTATTTTCAGCATCCAGGATTTAAACAGACTCCATCAGACATCGTCAGAAAAGAAGATCTCGGCCCAGCATAAAGCAGTAGCGGCAGCAGCTAGACAGAAAGGAGCAAGATGAAGTGAGGATGCCCTCACACTGACAGGAAGTGCGGAGGGCCTAATCTGATGGGGAGGAGGCACAGTGAAGGGGGAAGAAATCCCAAGCTATTGTGCTTCCGATCTTAAAGCAGCCTCTACAACATAATAACAATGCTGCCATTTGCAACTTTAGGATGGCTAATTCTGCATGTAACTTGCTCCACTCTAATTCACTCCCACTTGCATTATTAGTGTACAACCACCCCACTGAGAAGAGCAGAACCTCTTTAGGTACAGAGCCAATGACTCAGTGTGTAGTCCCCACAGCCAGAATAAAGCTTTACATGCAAAAGACACACAATATTTACCAAATAAAAAGGATCATGAGGTCACAAGGGAAAGGGACATGCAACCATAAACCTAGAAGCTGTACCACAAATGGGTTCAAAGAGACTAATTCATGAGCACTACTAATTATTAGGCACTGTGTGAGATGTGAGATGTTTCATTCAGTTATCTCAAATCCTCTCAGCATGATCTTCCTTCTCATAACTTACTTAGTACCCCCTGCGTGTTAGTTCTAAAACCAGAAGTAGAATCTAACTTTGGCAGATTCCAAAACCTTGTATGGTTCACACTGCATCACACTGAATCTGAATTGTGGAATAAAAGAGTGGAATTCTACTTACTGAAAAGAATGTGGTCAGCCAGATGTGCAATCAGTCTTCTTCGGCAGGATTCATCTGTTGCATTTCTGGATTCGTTAATGGACGTGTCTGTGCTTTCATCAGCAGCATCACTGGTTCTAAAAAGTTTGTTGTTTTTTTTTTTAATTAGACTTCTATAACCCCAATCTTTCACAAAGCAAGTGACATGAGATACAAATGTATTAGATACTTTAAATTACTACATATTCTAAATTTAAACCACAAATAGATTATTACTATGAGTCATTTTACTCCAAAATATACTTCATTATGGGCTTCCCTGGTGGCTCAGATGGTAAAGAATCTGCCTGCAACACAGGAGATCAGGGTTCATTCAATCCCTGGGTCAGGAAGATCCCCTGGAGAAGGGAATGGCTATCCACTCCAGTATTCTTGCCTGGAGAATTTCATGGACAGAGGAGCCTGATGGGCTACAGTCCATGGGGTCACAAACAGCTGGACACATCTGAGTAACTAACACACACATACCTCATTATATTTAAGACACTTCCCTGAACACAACATGTTATTTATTTATGACTAAGTAATCTGTTGGTACATCACTTTCAGAACTCACTGGCAGAAAGAATGCATAAAACACGATGCTCCATTTTAAAACCGTTTCAAAAATTCAACATTTGAACATATAAAAAGAAAGGCTTAGTATTTCTCTAAGTGACCATTTGATTTGAATTCTGGAAAATTCACATAAGAAACTCTTACATGTTACATGAATGTGCAATATGCATAGGCTAAACTACTACCAAAAAGAACATTTCAAATATTCAAAAGCAGAAATCAAATAAGAACTCATATATGATTCACAAAATCAAAAAGATTTTAAGATCCAAATAATCAAAAACCTTCAAACTAATACACAAACACATTATTTCAAGATCCTTTACTAGACCAAGAGAAAAATTCCTCAAGTGAGGAAGTAAAAACAAGAATATGAATGTCCTTAACAAAGCTAGCCAATTTTATCCATGCAATGTAAGAAATCCGTGTGTGCTGAGTCACTTCAGTCATGTCCGACCTCACTGCAACCCTATGGACGTTGTAGCCTGCCAGGCTCCTCTGTCCTGGGATTCTCCAGGCAAGAATACAGGCATGGGCTGCTGTGCTCCTTTCCAGGGGATCTTCCTGACCCAGGGATGGAACCAGTATCTCTTATGTCTCCTGCATTGGCCAGCAGGCTCTTTACCATTGGCTCCACCTGGGAAGCCCGATATAAGAAATAACAGATATTCAGTATAAAAAACTTCCATAAATCTTCAGTTCAGTTCGTTTCAGTCACTCAGTCCTGTCCAACTCTTTGCGACCCCATGAAATGCAGTGTGCCAGGCCTCCCTGTCCATCACAACTCAGGGAGTTTACTCAAACTCATGTCCAATGAGTCAGTGATGCCATCCAACAATCTCATCTTCTGTTGTCCCCTTCTCCTGCCTTCAGTCTTTCCTAACATCAGGGTATTTTCAAAATGAGTCAGTTCTTCACATCAGGTGGCCAAAGTATTGGAGTTTCAGTTTCCGCATCAGTCCTTCCAATGAACACCCAGGACTGATCTCCTTTAGGATGACTGGTTGGATCTCCTTGCAGTCCAAGGGACTCTCAAGAGTCTTCTCCAACACCACAGTTCAAAAGCATCAATTCTTCAGCGCTCAGCTTTCTT